TAACATATTTTTACAGATAAAGAAACAATATGATTCCTTTTGTATTGTCGTTTTCAACTTTAAATTTAGAGTGTTCTTAATTGTGTTGGCCTATGTAATATACATATGTTATGAAGACACTGGTTTTACACTCCTTTATTCAATCAAAATCAGACCGACTATTTCCAACAAACAGGTGAAAGCATCAAAATCGTAAAAACCCAGAGAGAGGCTTCATTTACAAACCTGGTGGTGAGCAATATCGGTGATGACCTAGTTCTCTAAGCATCCCTACAAAAAAGAAGAGCCCCCCCCCCTTCCCTACAGAGAAAGTGAAAGCTATTAGTCACGGCCAGCTGCACAAAAGAGTTGACACAAAATCACAGTCTGGGTGAGCCGCTGTCTATTCAATAAAGCCAGGATTGTTGAACACTTTTGTCTCGCTGGCCGACATCAAGACCCCTGCTGCCAAAACAATATCATTCAGCCATCAGGATGCCTGTACAGGGTAAATAGGGCAGAAGGACAAAGCTGGCTTAATTTAATGTATACATTCATGCAGAGACCCACGCCGGTACGCGCATACACATATATTATAACACACGCGCTGGGCGAGTACTCATTCAGACTCTCTCTCTCTCTCTCTCTCTCTCTCTCTCTCTCTCTCTCTCTCTCTCTCTCTCTCTCTCTCTCTCTCTCTCTCTCACACACACACACACACACACACACACACACACACACACACACACACACACACACACACACACACACACACACACACACACACACACACACAGACGCTCACGTATACCCATGCACGCAAGAGGAAAAAAAAACCCTACGAAATAAACAAGTAAAATCGCGCAAACAAGCACACTGATAACCACACAAACTCTGGAACAACATATTGGGCTCTGCACCAGTGCCAATCGAAGGAAGAGCAGCTTTCAAGGGCAGATAATCCATCGTGCCTTGGGCAGAATACTAAAATGTGCGGCAATAATTTCCCTTGCAACGAGGTGCTGTTTAATTTGCTGCAAATGGAAGTCATTTATACCTACTCAAAATGTGTCTGTTTTTGCCATCTCTTAGTGTCAATTATTATGAATCGAAAACAAAGTTTAAACACAAAAAAGGTTTATAGTAAAATAAATTATATCCACATAGACTGGGTGATTGCTTAAATTTTGCTTCTGTAGATTTGGTTCATAAACATTGAATTACTTCTTCTCTTGGATCTTGACTCGTCAATAAAATATCATAAAGCTGTGTGTCTTTCCTTTTGAATCCTTTTACTAAGGATGAATAAAGCAAAACATATTTTTCATGAGAAAGGATTGCGTTTGTGCGTAAGTACGCGTATGTACGCGAGTGTGTGTGTTTGTGCGTGTGTATGTGTGTGTGTTTGTTTGTGTATGTGTGTTTGTGTGTGTGTATGACCGTGTTTGTTTGTATATGACCGTATCTTGGTGTATGTGTGGTTTTGTGTGTGTATATGACCGTGTGTGTGTGTGTGTGTGTGTGTGTGTGTGTGTGTGTGTGTATGTGTGTGTGTTTGTGTTTGTGTATGTGCATGTGCATGTATGTTTGTGTGTGTGTGTGTGTATGACCGTGTCTGTGTCTGTGTGTGTATGTATGTGTATGACCGCGTTTGTGTGTATATGATCGTGTATGCGTGTTTGAGTGTGTGTGTGTGTGTGTGTGTGTGTGTGTGTGTATGACCGTGTTTGTGTGTGTGTGTGTGTGTGTGTGTGTGTGTTTGTGTGTGTGTATGACCGTGTTTTTGTGTATATGATCGTATGTGTGTATGTATGTTTGTGTGTGTATAACCGTGTGTGTGTGTGTGTGTGTGTGTGTGTGTGTGTGTGTGTGTGTGTGTGTGTGTGTGTGTGTGTGTGTGTGTGTGTGTGTGTGTGTGTGTGTGTGTGTGTGTATGTGTCTATGTTGGTGCGTGCATGAGTACACAGACCTGTCCCCATAGACTTGCTCCCAGCC